AAGTGTCCATCAACAGATGAATGGATCAAGAAGATGTGGTTTATCTATACCATGGAATACTACATGGCAATGAGAAACAATGAAATCTGGCCATGTGTAGCAACATGGATGGACCTTGAGGGTGTTATGCTGAGCGAAATAAGTCAGGCAGAGAAGGTATAACTGTTTTTTAAACATTGCCGTAAGAACCCCGCATTTCTCAGTGGTTTCAAGCTTACCCTCCTAACTTGACTGCTTTTAATTTCTGGTTTATGTTTGTAATTGGAATATGTAGTAGAACACTTATTTTGTTTTAAAAAATTATTAATACATAGGTTATCAAAACTACCATAATATCTGAGAATCAGCATATATACAATTTTCTGCCCTCCAGATTTGTACTATTAAACTTATGATTCCCAACATGGAAAAGCAAAATTCTGCTGATTTGTTTGTGAATCCACTTGACAGACTTTTTAAAAGCATGAAAATAAAGGATTTTCTCCTCCCCCAAATCTTTGAATATTATTGATACTCCAGGAAGATAGTTCCCTTTTGGTTTTGCATATTTTGTGTTAAAATCTCCAATTCAAGAAGCAGGGACTTCAAGGTAATCAACTTGCTTGACTAAGAACTACTTGTCTCTTTCTTTTGCAATAAGGAAACCATTATTTCTTCCCCTTAATTAAGCCTAGGCTGACAGTTTTTAGTGTTCCACAGTTCTGTTTTGGTTTTTTGTTTTGATTTTGCAAGAATTATAAAATTGTTTGGTAAGAATCATGAAATTGGGACTTCAGTACCTAATTTGAGATAACTAAATAAACTTTTGTGTCTAGAATATAATGTATTCTGGGGGACCTCTCTGGATGACTATATTGCTTTTTTATCTGTTTGTGTAAAAAATAGAATATTCACTCATGGTCACCATTCTTATTTCTTGCTAATGTGGGAAAACATGAGCAGAATTCAACTATAACAATAAATATGGTCATCCAAGTATAAGATAGTATGTAGCTCTTGATTTCATCTCAGCCCATTATTACTTCCTTTTTAACTTTAAGGAAACTTGTCATGAGTTTGAATCATATGATTGCTTTCAGAACTGTTGAACATTTGAGTTAAGGGTTTTAAGAGAAGTTCATGTTTTGAATAAAATGTTGCAATTAACTTCCTACTTTTTGTAATGAATACAATTTTTTAGGTACAGAGAATTGTATAATTAATTTATTATCACTCAAACTCAGTTAATATTAATTCTTGACTAGTACTGTTTTATCTGATCCCTCCTCTGTAGACTCTCCATTATCTTGAATCATATCCTAAATAACATATCACAGTTCATCTGCAAATATATCAATCATAGGACTTAAAAAAAAATTATCACACCTAAGAGAAATTAGGAATAGGCTTTCTAGATCAGCTAAGCAGTTAATATTCAGATTTTTCTGACGGTGTTTCTTTGTCTTTTCAGATTTATTTATTGTTGAAACTGGGTTGTTTGTCAAATATAATTTCCCACAGTCTGGATTTTACTAATTATATCCCAGTTAGTATAGTTTAAATATGGTTATCTGTTCCCTGTTTCCTGTGAGTTGATAGTTAGACTGAGAGGCTTGAAAAAAAATTTTTTTTCTTGTCAAGAATACACTTGATAGTCTTGTGTATTTCTATCGTGAGTTACAGTAATGTCTAATTGTCTTTCCTTTTGTGGTATTATCACCATTGTTATACAAGTCCATTATTTTATTAAGGATTATAAAATAGGGGTCCCAATCACAGCATTTTTTACTTTGGTTATTGACTGGAATGTTTTTATAAAGAAAAACTCCTTATCACCAATTTGGTTACCCCAAGATATCTCTCATATAGGTAAGAGAGGATAAGTAATGGGTTTTTCCCCTTTATTTACCTGTTTTTTAAATAATAAGTTGGTTCTCTTAACATCCTCCAAAGTTGACTAACGTTAACTTTTTTTGTTTAGCAAAATATGATTTGTATTTTATAAATATATCCTTTGATGTATATGTCTCTCCTCCCTCTCTCTCTCTCTCTCTTTTCATTCTTTAATTAAATATTAAAGCCCGATTCTTTTGACACTTAAGTATATTCTTTTTCAGAACTCTTGTTTCATATGTGGATAATGCAGTTTGATTTGGAAGTTGCTGATTGCACACATTGGAATATAACACTGTGAACATGAAATATTTAAATTTGATAATGTTCTTTGGGGATTCTTTTCAAGGCATTTGCTTACAAAGTCATAGTACAGAGCAAATAGACCTAAAATTGCTTCTGAGAATTAACAAAACTTTTTCATTCACTATGACTCACGGCAGAGAAGGATGGCTCAAATTTGAGAATTTTCCTAGAGACTATATATCTTTTACATTATTATTTATTTTGTATTTAAGCCATTTAAGTCCAAACCAAGTTCCTGATTCTCTTACCTTTGTTTTCATCCTATGTCCTAAGTTGATTGAAAAAAAATTATCTTCAAAAACAAGAATCCACAAAGTGACTGAAACATGAGTCACTCAATGTCCTGAGGAAATAAACATTTTTCCTGTGGTGAAAATTTATCCATCCTAATGTTGAGTTTTCAAGGGGCTTCCTGACCACGATTTGTTAAAAGTTTTAACTCTGTACACACACACACACACACAAATTATATTGGGATTAAAACAGCACCCTAAATACCAGAAGATTTCCTAGAAAATTTTATCTAAAAGTTGTACTAGTGAATACTCATTACCAAATCATTTGAAAAAAAGGAAAAAAACTGACAGAAATCACAGACTATAAGTAGAGATGGTAGAGAACTTTTGTTAATTTAATGTCTGCAATGCACCATTAATTGTCTAAGACTTTAGTGTATATTATCTCACCTGGCTTTGCATCAGTCAGTATTAGGGCCAGGATTCACACTCATGTTCTCTTGATTGTGTAGTAATATGCTTTCCTCCCTAACACATGCATCTTAATGTGGTTTTGGTAATGTGGAAAAATATAGAGTTTAAGCTGTTTAGTAACCTTCTGTTGAGAATGGAATCTGATGTGAATGTTTTGGTTGCACATAGGGCATCGGTACAGCAATTGGAGAGCTGCCGCCATATTTCATGGCCAGGGCAGCTCGCCTCTCAGGGGCCGAGCCAGATGATGAAGAGTATCAGGAATTCGAAGAAATGCTGGAACACGCAGAGACTGCACAGGTAAGAACAGTAGAAAAAAAATAGAATACTTTAATTGTGCTTAACGGAGTTATGGCTAAGGTGAAATTGGTAATAGTTACTTTAAAGAAGAAAACTGCCAGCGTAAAAATAAATAATACATGAATTGGGATAGAATATTTAGAAAAGCTGAAATATAAAAGCAGTTATAATCTTGATTTTAGAATAGAGAAATACAGAAAGTTCACAAGACAACTCAGACTAAGCTGAAACACCTTGCCAGAAACCAGGGTAAGTTGATGTTGCCAGTGAAGTTTAGAAGCGGTAACATTCTTTGTCCATTATGTTTTTAAGTATTACCAAGCAGACCAGCAACTGAATAAGGGGGACAGATAGGTGGGTCAGGCTATGAATCCAAAGTTTCTAAGAATAATGTCAAAATAGTTTACCATGTTTAGAGGAATTTATTTGGGAACTCTTAAGAAAAGACAATTACAGGAGTGCCTGGGTGGATCGGTCAGTTAAGCATCCAACTTCAGCTCAGGTCATGATCTCATGGTCCATGGGTTCGAGCCCCATGTTGGGCTCTATGCTGACAGCTCAGAGTCTGGAGCCTGCTTCAGATTCTGTCTCTCTTTCTGCCACTCCCCCGCTCATGCTCTCTGGCTCTCAAAATTAATAAACATGAAAGAAGAAAGAAAGGACAATTACAAGGTTGCCTGGCTGGCTCAGTCTCTAAAGCGTGCAACTTGTGATCTTGGGGTCATGAGTTTGAACTCCACTTTGGGCATAGAGATTACTTTAAATATATATATATTAAAGAAAAGAAAGAAAGGAATGGCAGTTACAATAAACTTACCCTTTAACAGTTGGAGGGAAGAAAGACTGAGGCCTTTATACCTGAGCATAAACTGTATATCAACCTATATCTTAATGTTACAAGATAGTTGTTTCATTCTTTGCAGGAAAATTTCCTAAGAATATTGTTAACTGAGTCAGTTCTTAGGAATGACAGTAGAAATCAACATAGGCAAAAATAAAAAGGATATAAAAAATTTTTGAAAGATTATCTATAAAATACATCTTCCTTCCTAGATTTATTTATTAACCTATGAAATGAAATTGTTTGGAAAATTGTCTTATTGTGTGTTTATAAGTGCATGTGCCCACATAAGTACACACACATATTTTTTTAATTAACTTAGTAGTCTGTGTTTATATTTAAAATCAGGAAAAGTAACATTTTGAGACAAAACTTTTTATAATTCTTTTTATAATAAGAACAAATAGTAATTATGAATATAAACATTTATATAAAAGAAGTAATACATATTATATATGTACATATAATTATTTTAAAAAATAGAAAGTAAACCACATTATGACCAAAAAAGCTATTACTTAAAACTAAAAATATGATTAGAAATAACACAAGTATTGTTGGGATGAGCACTGGGTGTTATATGGAAACCAACTTGACAATAAACTATGAAAGAAAAAAAAAAGAAATAACACAAGTATTTAAATGTTACCCCTAAAACAACCAATACTGAATCTATAATTTACTGTGGCTATTACAGAGAGTGGATTAAGTAAAAGCACATATTTAAACACAGAAAATCTAACAAAATTGTTTCATAAACATCTTCCTGGATTTCTTCATTATTCATGTGATCTGGTTTTCATAAGATAACATAAATAAAGTCTATGTCTCTCATAAACGAAGACCCATAAGAAAATTATTATATATATCTGAATAAATTTTTTAATTCCTTTCCCTAACATTATTTTGCTATTCTTTGACTTTCAAGTATATTTTCCTTGGTCTTTTTTTTTTTTTTAATTTAAATCCAAGTTAGTTAACATATAGTATAAAAATCATTTCAGGAATAGAATTTAGTGAATCATCACTTACATATAACACCCAGCACTCATCTGAACAAGTGTCCTCCTTATTTCCCCTTACCCCTTTACTCGTTTTCCCCCCAGCCAACACCCCACCAGCAACTCTCAGTTTGTTCTCTGTATTTAAGAGTCTCTATGGTTTGTCTCCCTCTCTGTTTTTATATTATTTTTGCTTCCCTTCCCTTATGTTCATCTGTTTTGTTAAATTCCACATGTTAGTGAAGACATATGATATTCATCTTTCTCTAATTTCACTTAGCATTAATACACCATGGTTCCATCCATGTTGCTGCAAATGGCAAGATTTCATTCTTTTTGATCACTGAGTAATATTCCATGGTGTGTGTGTGTGTGTGTGTGTGTGTGTATATATACACATATATATATATAAAAGATACACCGTATTTTCTTTATCCATTCATCAGTCGACGGACATTTGGGCTCTTTCTATACTTTGGCTATTGTCAGTAGCCCTTCTATAAACGTTGGGGTGCATGTGCCACTTGGAAACTGCACACCTGTATCCTTTGGATAAATACCTAGTTGTGCAGTTGTTGGGTTGTAGGGTAGTTCTGTTCCTAATTTTTTGAGGAACCTCCATACTGTTTTGTTTTGTTTTTTTAATGTTTTTTATTTATTTCTAGGAGAGAGAGAGAGAGAAAGACAGCGTAAGCAGGGGAGGGTCAGAGAGAGAGGGAGTCACAGACTGAAACAGGCTCCAGGCTCTGAGCTGGCAGTCAGCACAGAGCCCGACGCGGGGCTCGAACCCACGAACCATGAGATCATGACCTAAGCGAAAGTCGGACGCTTAACCGACTAAGCCACCCAGGCGCCCCATCCTCCATACTGTTTTCCATAGTGGCTGCATCAGTTTGCATTCCCACCACCAGTGTAAAAAGGTTCATCTTTCTCCACATCCTTGCCACCATCTGTTGTTGCTTGAGTTGTTAATTTTAGCCATTCTGACAGGTGTGAGGTGGTATCTCACTGTGGTTTTGATTTGTATTTCCCTGATGATGAGTGATGTTCATCTTTTTATGTGTCATGAAACATCTGGATGTCTTCTTTGGAAAAGCATCTATTATGTCTTTTGCCCATTTCTTCACTGGATTATTTCTTTTTTGGGGTGTTGGGTTTGATAAGTTCTTTGTAGGTTTTGGATACTAACCCTTTACCTGATCTGTCATTTGCAAATATCTTCTCCATGTCTTCAGTTGCCTTTTAGTTTTGCTGATTGTTTCATTTGCCATGTGGAAGCTTTTTATCTTGATGAGGCCCCAATAGTTCATTTTTACTTTTATTTCCCTTGCCTTTGGAGACATGTCAAGTAATAAGTTGCTGCAGCTGAGGTCAAAGAAGTTGTTGCTTGTTTTCTCCTCTAAGATTTTGATGGCTTCCTGTCTTATAATTAGGTCTTTCATCCATTTTGAGGTTATTTTTGAGTACACACACACTTTATGAGGGATATATTCTTATCTTTCTTCTCAGTGGAATCTGAGACCCAAAAAAAAACCATTAGCATAGAGGAGGGAAAACATATATCTTAATAACAGATGGGCTTTTTAAAAAGGCATTATTCAGTAGAAATCAACTAAGGTTAGTTATGGTTTTTAATTGAAGACAAAACTTTCGAATATGAATGTAGAATAGCCAAATAACCAAATATAAAACAAATGAATCAAAGAGCTATGAGCACACGCGGAAAGAGACAGGTTGGCCTTGGTATTTGCTTTGCCTTATCTGTCAACCAGATATTATGTCTCTTTTCCTCTCATCATAATGCTTATACTAATGCTAATAATTGTTACTAGTATAAACAACTTTTTAATTGTTTTTAATGTTTTTTAAAATCCAGTATCTAATCTGACTCTTCTGTTAACTGAAGTACTATAGGAAAGTACCATTCTTCTAATTTTATAGAAAACTTAAGATCTAGAAGTTGTTACATCCCTAATTTTACATACTTAGAAGTATAGCTAGACCCAGAACTCAGAATGCCAGCATCACTGGTATATCCAGCTGCTAAAACCATGTCCATCCATAGACTAGGCTGAGTATCTTCAGTAACAACAGCTGATACATCTGTAATTTGTAGCAATAATTAATATATGTCATTTAACATCTCGAAAACTCCCTTTTTTTGGTCTCTATAAAGTCAGCAAGTTGATCCTAGGGTAAATCTAGGATGGCTTGCAGCTTTACATTTTTATGCTGTAGATTGGATGCCAAACAGGTATAAGTATTATTCTCTGTTCAGTCAATTAATATACTGTCATTGTTTTCCCTTTTTTTTTAACTTTTTGTTTTGGAATTAATACTTTTTCATTTGCATAGTTTTTTCAATCTCTTCTCTCCCTTCTGCCAGCTCTGTAAAACGCTTTACTATATCACTTCCCACTTGGTAATACCTATAAAATATTATCAAATTTTCTTTCTTGGAATCATCACTCTGGAGCCCACCATCCTTCTACTGCAGTCCTGCAATCTGAACTTGGTATTCTCTTGGATTCTCTTTGCACATTGATTCTTTTTTGGTTTGGATCTCTTGTCATTGTCATCATGTTGTCTTCCTCCCCCTCCCCCTCCCCCTCCCCCTCCCCCCCCCTCCTTTCTCCTTTCTCCTTTCTCCTTTCTCCTTTCTCCTTTCTCCTTTCTCCTTTCTCCTTTCTCCTTTCTCCTTCTTCATTTGTTTTTAAATAATCTCTACCCCTAGCTCATGAGATCAAGAGTCATATGCTCTACCGACTGAGCCAGCCAGGCACTCCTTGTCTTCTTTCTTGATTTACTCCCTATTTTGGTTGAACACATTCTACGATAGCTTCCTGAGAAAGAATGAGTAGATGGAAATGCTGAAAATGCTGTGCCTTCACTCACACTTAATCAATTAACTGAATATAGTATTTAAGTGGAAAATCATTTTTTAAATTTAGAATTTGGAAATCATTGCTCAATCATCTTTGGACCTCTGGTGTTGATATTGATGGGGCAAATGCCCTCCTGACACCTCTTCATAGGTAGTCTTTTTTGGTTGTTTTATTTTTTATCTAGAAGCTGTTAGATTCATTATCCGAGGTATGGGTCTTTAAAAATCTATCCCGAAAAAAAAAATCTATCCTGTTAAGCACTTGGAAGCTTGT